TTGTCTTATTATTAATATTTCAGATTAGCTTTTTTTTTTTGGTGGGGGAAGGTAATCTGGTTTATTTACTTACTTACTCTCAGAGGAGGTACTGGGGGTTGAACCCGGGACCTCACGCAGGTTAAGCACGCGCTCCACCACTTGAGCTACACCCTCCCCCTTAGGTTAGCTTTTATTCCAGCCCCACGCAGGGTCCAAATGGAATGAATGGCTTCGCAGCAAACTCGTCCCATGGTCAGGACCCACAGACGGAAAGACTTTCTTCCGGGATGGCGTAATAGTCCTTAGCTCAGGGGTTCCCGTTCATTGGACCCCACTTTTATCCCCCACTGCTCACCCCTTCCGAGGCTCCGCCCCACAGTCAGAAACAGGCCTGGTTCTAGTATGTAAGCCCACGGGGGATCAAGATTTCATCCTCACCTCACTTTCTCTACAACCCAACCTAAAAATGGGGGGTTCATTGTCCCCATTTTAGTTCACAAACTCAGAGAGGACTTGGGTGCAAATTTAAGCAAAAGCAACAGTGAAATAGCCCACAGCAGCGAGACTCCTCCCCTGGGGCACTTCAGACCCTCCATCCTCGAGGGAGAGAGGAGTGGCCCATGCCCCCTTGTGGGACCTCGGCGGGTGATTCCTGCTGTTACCAGGCAACTGAGGTTCCCGGCAGCTCCCGTCTCCAAACTCCGCTGCGTCGCAGGGGCCCCCAAGCACCCAGGAAGGCAGGGGTCAGGAGGCGTGAGGAGGTGCCTGCATTTCAGATCTCAGAGGAAAATGGGCAGCTTGTGGGACGTATTTTCCGTGGCAAAAGAATACAGACAATTTTAAACTCTCATAATAAGAGAAAAACTGCTCTTAGAGACATGGAGATTTTCAATATTTTTTGGTTTGGATGACGTGAATTTCAGAAACGCCTTTTTGAAAGGGATAGAATAGATTTAGAACCACCAAATTTTAGATAGCCTCTCAAAACCTGACTCCCTCTCTCAGATGGCCACACGGCCCCAGCAGAAAGCCTTTAGCTTGCTGCAAAGCAACCGCCTTGACCCTGCCTGGAGCTGGAATAAAGCCTTCCCTGAAATATTAATAATAAAACAAAGATTTCTGAAGACAGGCTTCTCTTTGAGAAGGAAACATTACATGATATTAATGGGGTTTCTCAGATTTCCATAATCCCAAGAGTTTCTACCAGGATTTCCTGGCTCTTAGGGAATCCTCCCCACCACGCACGCACGCACGCACGCGCACACACGCACACACACACCCCCCCACCTCCCAGCACAGCACACACACTGGAGGGAAGGAACCCGAGTTAAAGATCTGCAATGCAGCAGACAGGGTTCACCAGGTGATATTTGACAGGGATGTCACTTTAATCAGAAAAGCACTAACTTGAGGTTCATGACACACAACCTGAGCCCCAGTTTCCAGAGGACAAAGGAGACGGGGCCAGACAGTCTCATAAAGGGAATGTTCCAGAAGCCACAGCTCCCAGAGGGGATGAGGCAGCTCTGGGCAGGCCGACAGGGGCCCTGGCCTCCTGGATGGCCCCGGGTCCTCCGGAGAGACCACACAGGGTGGCAGGTTGAGGTCAGGGGAGTCTGGTCCCCTCAGCCCATCAGGGCCTTTGCTGGTGGCCGGGTTGTGGGAGCAGGCACAGCCCCACACCCCGCGTGGTTCTGAGCAGCGGGCAGCTCTCTGGCTGCGTCGTGGGGCCTCAAGGAGCCCAGACTCTGGGTCCAGCTTCTTCTCTCTGGCCGGGCCTCGTTCTCCCTAGAGCCTACTCAGACCACGGGGCTTCATTCCCCAGCGCCTTCTCCAAAATAAAAAGAAAGAAAGAAATACACCAGTGACCACGTGCCCCCCAACCCAGCCTCACCCGGCCGGCGCGCCCTTGGACCCCAGCCTCGGTGCAGATGAAGGCTCGTGTGATCTGGCGCAGTGTCTCCAGGCAGGAGAAGGTGGACATGAGAAAAGGGAACCTGGAAAGAACTCAGCAAGCATCCAGAAGGTTCCCCAGAGAAGTCCTCCAAGGTGCCGCCTCCAGGCCACAGGAGACGCAGTCGTGGAGGCCCTGACACCCCTCCCTCCCAGGAGTCTGTGTGAACTGGGCTGTGTTCATGCTCTGTGTCCCCCCACGGCCGCGGGGCCGCAGGGCAGTGCTCACAGCCCCGCCTCCAGGTCCTCATCTCTGACCCTCTGGACATACCCCACCAGGAGCCCTGTGGCTCTGAGCAGTCCCTGTCCCAGGGGACCGTGGGGAGAGATGACCGGCCAGGCACCCTGCCTTGATCCTTGGGCACCAGCCTCAACCTCCCGTGTGCAACTCTCGCTGGGGGAGCCCCGGGCAGCGAAGGCCACGGGGGCCAGGAACTGTCTCCTGCACGCGGCCCGTCACCTAAAGGGTGACCAGCGGTCTGCTACTCCGCACAGCCCGCAGAGGGTCCTCAGGCAGCACCAGCTTCAGGGCGCCCGGCTGCTGGGAACAACGCCCGCAGCAGACAACTGTGGGGGGCCTTGGGGGCGAGCTCGGACCACAGCGGCAGAGCCTGGGTGAGCTGACTTACCCTCCCAGCTTAGCCTGAAGCCAAGGCAGAGCCCGCGGAGCCTGGGTTCGTTCTGGGAGGAGAGCCCCCTCCCCGCCCCCACCATCCTCCAGTCCCACTTCTTGTGTTGGAAAATTCAAGATACTCAGACAATCCCGGGTGGTTCTTCCTCCCACAATTATGAGCAAGCAAGTTGCTTTGCGACGTTTCAGAAGACACAGACGGGGTCTGTCCTTGGGTTTGTTTCAATGTCAAGAAAGGAAACGGGAACTGGGATGCAAAGTGCCCACCGGAGGAAGCAAACGCAGGGAGCCGTGCACGGCCCGGCTCCTCCCGTTCGCACGTCCCCGCGGTGGGGCTAGGATGTTGGTGGCGGGATGTCAGGTGGCCGGAGGGACTGACGACGGTGTGACCGGGTGCCGGGGTCACACACACACATGTCAGGGGCATGCCTCAGGGGCTCAGACCTCCCCAGCCACTCAGACAGGCTGCGAGGCCGGCGAGGCCCACGCTGCACCCCCACCCCCGGGCTGGCCGGGCACCAGGAAAATCCACCACGCCCAGCACATTCCGCGGCAAGTGAGGGGTCAGCCTGAGCAGAGGGGCCGGGTCTCCCGAAAGTGGAAGCAAAGTCTAACCCCTCCGCAGAGTGCGGGAAACAAAGCGCTCCATTAGCAGATGCGCTGGCTGATAGGCAGGCAGGCAGCGCCCCGGCAGCGAGCGCCAGCGCTGTTTCTGAGGAGAACCCGGTGTCCCCGGGCCAAAGCTCACGGCGTTTTCTTTTGCTTTCGTTTCCTCTGCCCCAAGGTGGACACCCCCCACCCCCGTGTCAGGGCGTGCGATCTGCCGGGGCCCCCTGCTCTGCCCTGAGGCCAGACAGCCCCTTGTTCCTCTGCTTTCACCCTCCACAAGTTTTTAAATCATAAATCATCAATGGATTACCCGGTTGAAATGGTAGCTTCCCGTCAATTAGGTGTAATTTTCCCTTTGAAAAGGAGAAGGACAGGGAATTCATTTCAGTGCTCCTTAACCAATTTACAAACGGCTTTGAAAAACAAAGCAAATGCGTCTGGAGTCAGAAATTGTTGCATTTCACTGTTTGGAGCCAAGGGACCCTCTTCTGGGCAAAGAACAAGATGTAAATTTGACTGTGCCCTCACAATTCCGGCCATCAGCACTCAGCAGAATTCATATTTTTTTCTTCTTAATTAAGTGGAATACTTTATTAGAAGGTGGCATTTAAGAATGAGGTAGACAATTTAACTGTGACCCATAATTTATATATATATGTTTTTTAAATCTAGGCATAAACTGTACACTATATATTTGTATATCTGTAAATATAATTTACAGATAATAAATATATCTGCAATAGCCAGGTACTGAACAACTAAGAAAGAAATAGGTAAATAGATTTACTTTATATCGAGCTGCTGTGATGGTGACAGATCACGGAGCAGAAAGAGTAAAGATTTAGGCACAAATGGCTTCTGCCACACATGGGGAGAGAGAAGCCCGGGCAGTCCCAGAGATGTCAAGCCGCCTCCCCTCTCTCGGCCAGAGGAAGGAATTGTCTGCCTGTCCCTGGAGCTGCAGGTGATGCCGAACCTGAACTGGACGGCTGCCCCCATGCCCCTGCTCAGCTCTGAAAACGCGGCCTGGCGCCGGAGGAGGGCTCCCACGGTAAAGGCAGGGACGAGGGCAGAGGGAAACAAAGTCCTGCCCGAGCCCTCAGCAGCTCCAAACTTCTGCTTTCCTGCTCCATCTCAGAGCACCACAAGGCTGTTTTCTAAACACTGGAGGCTCAGCTCCGCAGCCAGCCTCAGGGCTCCCGGGTCCCCAACCTCCCAGGGAGAGATGGCCCACTCTGGGGACAGCAAGTGGGGAAGAAACACCGTGATACTTCCAAGATCACCCAGCCACTTCAGGGGTCCCCCCAAAATGCCCAAGGATAACCATCAGGCCAGCCCCCTCTCTCAGAAGGACAGGAGACAGGCAGGGTGGCCACTGGGCAGATTTGCTTTTCAGCAAGATCTTAGAGCGATTCAAGTTCCCCTCGCGCTGGGCTTCTCTTTCTTGAAAAGCCCCTGGTACACCGCACCGAAAGCCTTCGCAGAATCACAAAAGCACAAGGGAATTCTGAGATTCTGGAGGGAGAGGGTTGGTTTTTTTTTAAGATAAGCGCTATGAAAGCGAGTCCACCTGGTTTACTCAGATGCACCTTTAAAGTTTCTCAAATTGGTCAGAAGGCAGGGGCGGGGGGTGGGGGTGGAGAGCGCTGTTCAGTTCGCCTGATTGCTTTCTCATTTTTGAGAAAATCACTTGCTCCAGGGAGGAGAAAGCACGGCTGTGGCCTGCGTTCAGTGCACCGGCTGGTTGTCTGCGATGCTGTCCCTTCTATGCAGTGTAGGTTGGATGGACTTTTTCACCTATTTAAATTCTAAAATTCTAAGATTAAGTAGGAATGAATAGTGTAGACCTTAAGTCTTCATACTCCAAAATAGTATCTATCCTCGAGAAGTGACTCGGTATTAGAAACAAAACTTAAGGAACTTCGAGGGGAAAGTGTTCCAAACTGACAGCCATTATGAATCTGAAATATTTCTTTGTCTTAAAGAATGTTGTTGGGGGGGTGGGAAATGATGTTCATTTTCTGAAACGGCTGGCTCTCCATGCACGTGGCCTCTGCTCAGTCCACCTTTTCTCAGGCAATTTCTCTGTCTTTTGTAGAGAACGTGGCCATTTATTTGTCCCAGAGTTCCGTTCACCTACCAGGAGCCGACTCTTTGTGCCCAGAGATTGTAAAGGGGGAGAAAACAGGCCGGGTCACACTCAGGACAGTCAGAACCCCGAGGCCCCCGGCTGGTGTCGTCCGCCCACGTTCAGTAAAGTCATCGCCGTTACAGAAAGAACCAAGATGCTAAAACAGGGACTTAACCGGGGACCGGGTCTGTTTGGCATTGTTACTTTTTAAAGCCGTTTAGAGCAGACATTTATTGTGCTAGTAAACTCAGCTGGTGCTGGGGCTCTGCCTGCTCTCAGATCGCGAAACCAGAGAGACAATTCCAGCTCTGCTGTGCCAGGCCACACCAGCCAAGGCCTGAACAGGACAGGTTTAAGCGGTGCTGGGGACGCCGGCCCTTCAGGAACAGGCCTGGGAGACGCAGATGCCGACTTGTAAACAAAGCAGGTCTTTCTCGGTTGGTTCCTGCGCTGAGCCTGGGAACGAAAGGGCCTTAGAGGACAGGGCTTCTTCCTCCCTGAGGACAGGCTTCTGTCTCCCCTCTTGTGAAAATCCTTAGGACTCAACCCTTCCTGGATGCTCGCTTGGCCCTGGGATCTGAACATGACCCACTGAGGGGCGCACGGTGAAAGGCAGATTATAAACCGACTTCAGGAATTTTTTAAGGGCTGCAGTAATAATTTATTACAGGCCGCGAACAGAAGGGGCCCGGGCTCGGTACAGTCAATGCGCAAGTTGTAACGCCCTAGAAGCCAGGAGACCGCCCAGGCCTCAGTCCCACCTAAGCCCGGCCTTTGTCCCGGGAAGTCGGCCGACCCCGAAGACCAGGAACCCTGTCTTTCTGTACGCGTGCGTCTGGCTGATAAGGTCTTTGTGCCACTGGGAACAGGTCGTAAAAACCGCCCGCGGCTTTTGTGTGTACCGGGGTCTGCCCGCGGCCCCCGGTGCCCTTGGCAAAGGCGGACCGGCTGAGTTTGGAAAAGTTTGCGTTGTCTCCTGTAGCGTTTTCGCCCCCTCCTCCAGGTGGAGGCAGGTCGGGGACACCCCGCCCCGCCCCGGGAGCTGCGATTAGCGCTAATAGCGATTAAT